AGTAGAACCAATCTGCCAATATAAAGTAGGCTTAAGAATCTCAAAAGCAACACACAATCCCCAGTTCTAAGAAAAAAATCAACAACAAAAGAATAAAAAACATCTAAAGATCCACAAGGTCAGAGGTCATTTAACAGTTACAAGACAGGGGCCAAAATTGGCCTTTGTAGGGTTAGGTAAACTGGGTACATTAGCTCAGTATATACATATTAACTCTACTTGTGACCAATAAGCTGTGATACTCTATCTAAATATAGAAAATCACCTTGCCTGGTCTTTATTGTGTTTAATCAGAAGATTCTAGGAGTCTTTATTTATTAGGGGATTGTACGCACTTCATTTTTATTCAGGAAACAGTCAGGTTTATAAAAGTAAGAATTTATTTTACAAACAATTAAAACTTGAGAAATTGGTTAACTATTATTTACTGAGTGGATGGAACTAAAGGTGATGTCTGGAACTTATGTGTGAATGTGATGTTGGTCAGAACTTCCGTATCTCGGAGAGCTGAGTTATGGATGTAAAAGAATTTGGTTTGTGTTAAGCTATGAGGTTGGTTATTATCAAAAACCACATCAAGACGCAATCTCACTGTGTTCTACATACCCGAGTGGAGATGCCTTTTCGGATCTGAGATGTCGGGGGGGAGGGTCGGAGACCCTGGTACCGAAGTCCGTAGACTAACTTGCAGTACGACCAAGTCAGTCCAGAGTCATCTCCAGGTAACGACAGTTGGAACTAGTTTGCGTCTCAGGAATAACTCTTAGGGAGTTGAACAAATCAGCTTGTTCTGCAGGAACTATTTTGCTGTATCAGCTTCGCAGGTGCGAAAAAAGGTTTTGACGACTTGTCAAAAGCTTTGGTGGGTTAAAGAGGTTTTTGCTTCAGGTGGCCGGCCTGAAGCTTCTCTAGAACTGAAGAATCACCCGCGTGATCTGGTTTTAATGTTATGATGTTATGATTGTGTAGCCAACCAAAAGTTGAGAAGTTTGGATGTTACCAAGAATCTGAGACACACGCCTTCTTTTATTCGGAGGCTCTGATCTGGGTAAAAGGTAAATTATGTGTCATGGACAGTGATGGGAATAACGCCGTTTAAAATAACGGCGTTATTAACGGCATTCTTTTTTTGGGTAACGGAATTATCTAATTAATTGCTTTTCCCACTGTTGCAACGCCGTTACCGTTACTGGGGATGGAAGGTTGTGCGTTACTATGTGCTTGTCGAACGTTGAGCAACAGTGTGAGGCTTTCTGACCGCCACATCAGATGCAGCCAGGGAGAGAGGTGTCAGTAATGCACTTACAAACACGATGATGATTGGCCGGGTGGGCGGAGACCCTCACTGCGTCAGTCACTGCGTGCTGTAGACACAAAAGCGCAGTGATGGGAATAACGCCGTTTAAAATAACCGCGTTACTAAAAAAATATTGCTTTCAGTAACGAGCAAACTAATTAATTACCATCTTCTTTTATCAAAACGATCATTTCTGTTACTGATAAGAAAATGTGTGCGTTAAGCAGCGCAGTGTGTTGAAGCTGTCATCAGCTGATCAGGAGCTAAAGAGGTAGATGTTTTCATCCAAGTGCATCACGGCCCGTGAAGAATGAGGAAGACGTGATGAACGGTCTACGGCCGCAGGTGTGGATCTGCAGCCGTGCCCTTCTTAGCGTGACAGCGGGACGTCCTGAAGGTCCGCTCACCTGTTCACCGCTCAGACGTCCTGATATTCTACCTTCCTAGATCATCCAGCTGTAACCCGTTTCTGATCATGTCTTTAGTCCCGCTGTAACACTGATGCATCAGTCTCAGACGTCATGGAGCTCAGGTGTTATTAGAACTACCTGTGTGTGTTTACCACCCAGCTTCAGCTCTTCTGTGGTTGGGTCTGACCCATGTTAGTACATTTAAGTCCTTCATCAGGTTTGTGCCTGTTCTTGTGTAATTTGAAAGGATTTTATTTATTTATTTAACCATTACTAGATTACCAGCAACAGAAATGCTACTAATAACACACAATTATGTGAAGCTGGAAAAATTAAAGTACTGTGCAAAATTACATGGGGTGACGGTGGCACAGGACTTAAGAGCTCGCCCCGTAATCGGAAGGTTGCAGGTTCGAGCCCTGCTCAGTCTGTCGCTGTCGTTGTGTCCTTGGGCAAGACACTTAACCCACGTTGCCTGCTGGTGGTGGTCGGAGGGACCGGTGGCGCCAGTGCTCGGCAGCCTCGCCTCTGTTAGTGCGCCCCAGGGCAGCTGTGGCTACATTGTAGCTCATCCCCACCAGTGTGTGAATGTGTGTGTGAATGGGTGAATGACTGATTGTGTTGTAAAGCGCCTTGGGGGGTTTCAAGAACTCTAGAAGGCGCTATATCAAATACAGGCCATTTACCATTTTACCATTTACATTCATTTCTGTAATTTAACTAGACTGAGAGGCCATTTAAAGGCTCGGGAACCTTTACAGGTGTTTCTATTTGCAATTTTAAATTTTAGCTGATTGGGGTCTTGTTAAATACCACACAGTGACCTTTTAATAGTCTAAATTAGTGTAATGTTCCTGTTAGTAATTCCTCTTGTTAAGTGTTTATTTATTGAAATTATTCAGGTTCATAAAAAACATTTTGACATACATTTGATTATGTTCCAGTCATTAGTCATTTATATTTCACTATTGTAGTCATTTATAGTAAATTATGGAAGTTCAATTAACCCATTTTTCTTGCATCATTAATGAAAAAAGTAACTAAGTAGTTATTTTTCTTGGTAACTGAGTTACTTTTATAATCTCGTAACTCAGTTAGTAACTGAGTTACTTTTTTGACAAAGTAATTAGTAACTATAACTAATTACTTTTTAAAAGCAACTTTCCCAACACTGGTCATGGATTTAACTTTACCTTACTTGTACTTGTGTGAGTGTAAATATTATGACCTTGTCAAGTAAACATGCTAAAGCAATCATTGATTATAGATTAATGAAACATTTCATTATTTTATAATTATTAGAAGTAGCAATAAACAAACATTTATTTAATGATTATCTAGCTTGTAAATTTCAGAAGTTCATATTTAATTTTAAAAATCTTCTTTCTTCTTTGAAGTGAGGAGTTTAGATAAAAGGGTTGCTCTGTGAGGGACCTTGGAAAGAACGGGATGTCAATGTTATGATTTCGTTATCTCTGTCAGAGCTGCAGGCTCTGAGCTCCAGCTGGTGTGAGGAAGGCAGGCTGATTTAAAGGGATCACGTGCAGTCTCGTTTTTGACCAGATGTTGAATGGTCAAACAGTACCTAAACTGACCATTGCTGGACGTTACACCTTCATGCGAGAAATCCTAGGGTAAAGGCCTTGCTGGCCAAAATATGCATAAAGCCCATCTCATGTTTACCCCCAAAAAATCCTAATTTTCCCCTAAAGTCATGTGAGAGAATGTTTTGTCGACAAACAAAGGTGGAACGTTTTGTTAGGTGTGCATCCTTTTACATCTAGAAAACAACCACTGCTATTCCAAAAGTTTACATATCAGTTGGGTGGTAGTAATATGATGTCTGAGGCTGCTTTGCTGCTTCAGGACCTGAATGACTTGCTGTAACTGAATTCAATTCCTTGAATTCTGCTCTCTAGAAGGAAATCCTCAAACCTTTGACCTTAAAGCTGCCATAGGGGACCTAAGTCTCCCTTTCTGATCTGCTCCCTAGGCCATGCCTCCCTGATATGGGTATGCGTATTGCCAGAGTCAACGAGAGAGCGCTAAACACCAGTTGTCATTTTTTTCAAACGACTTTTATTGTCTTCAAATGGAGTTTTTCTTTTTGGGACTCTGGTAGTTGGTCCTAAATTTGAAGTGGTAGCAGCCAGTTGTTTCTTCTTCTCTGATGTTATTGAATGGAGAACCTCTCACTTCAGTGGTGTTCTGTTGCACAGTGCGCCATTGCGTAATGAGTGGAGGACCCAGGTAAATGTTGAAGTGCAGACAGCAGGACAGACAACCAGATCAATCGTTGGTTTCTTGTTGTTTTTAGACAAATGCGAGCTAACTACTTCATTCGTTGTTTTCATCCCCACAAAATATGTATATCTATACTATGTTAGAATGTTAAGAAGCCTGAAAACCATTTTGTTTTCTTGTTTTGCAGATTTGCCATTGTAGCTTTAAACAGACCGTTAATGCTGGAAAACACTCCAGTGCATCTGAATTAAAACCATTCTGTAAAGAACAGTGGGGCGAACATGCTCTAGAGTGATGTGACTCTCATTGTCAAATATTGTAAAGGCTTGAGTACAGTTTTTCCAGACAACGGTATTACAACCAGTTATTGGGTTTTGTACTTTTTCACATGTGGCTGACTTGGTTTTGTTTGGTATTGAAATCTAAGTAAAACTAAATGGCAATAACAGAATGCAAATCTGAAATGGGTGCAAATACTTCTACACAGTAATAGTAACTTTTTTACTGGTAATAGTTAAAGGAGTTCACAACATCATAGTCATTTTAGATTTGATTATATCCTAAAAAGGAAGAGATTTGGATTGTGCACATTATTTGTTACAAGGTTTAAAGGGGAGCCAGCAGTAAATCTCCTGTTGGGTTTTTTCTATCACCCTGAAGAAATAACCTTCATGAGGTATTTCTCTTATCTATTGTTTGTTTTGTATCCTCTTTGTCCTTTTATTTCAACTGTATTCCTTTTCTCTTTGTTAGAGGTGTGCTAATGCAATAGAACGTGGTTTGAATCTTAATTTCTTTGGTGGATGTTTTAAAAATTGTATGTTTGGAATCAATAATTAATTGAACCCTTATTTCCCAGACTTGTGCTGTGAGCACAAAGTGCTCCAGCTCTTAAAAGATTTAATCATTCCTCAAGCCAAACAAATAGGTTTGGCGAGATGTTTAATCTGAAAATGGTGTGTGATGTAGTGAAAAACGTGATTTATTTTTCTTTTAGAATTATGTTGTATTTCCCATTTTTACACCATCCTATTGTTCTTTTCAAACAGGTGTGCCCCTCTCCACCCAATGGGGCCCTCAGGGCTACTTCTACGCCATCCAGATTGCCCAGTATGGTCTGAGCCATTACAGCAAGAACCTGACTGAGCGCACTCCCCATGTGGAGGTTTATGACACGGCCGAGGAGCGGGACAGCAGGGCCAGCACAGCGCCTTGGAGTGTGCCGAAAGGCTGCAGCCTCAGCCGTGTCCATGACAAGACCAGATCTACCTCTGTGCGTCAGTTCAGTGCTCCAGGTATGTAAGTCTTCATTTGGCCATATGGCCTCAGGGCAAGCAGCTTATCTCCTGTTAACTGTGGCTGCAGCAGCTACAGGGTGATGCTCCACAGTAAGTCACAACCACAATGGGAATTCTGGTTGTTGTGCTGGCTGACAGAAAGCACACTGCATATTGATAATCCTAGAAACTAGACAGATTTACCAACCAGCAGTCTTGATGTTGCTCCTTTAATCCAGTTTTTGTCCTTATTCAGGGTGAAAATTCAAGCTGAAATATGTTTAGTTAACGTTGTTTCAGCCAGAACATGAGCATATGAATAGATTAAATGTCTCTAAAGGCCAGACGCATATAACAGGAGGCTCAGGACTAAAGCTGTGTTTGCACATTGGCAAAAATTTTATTACACTTTATTTTTTATGGAGTGTAGAAAGCAGCATATGATCTTTTCAACTCTTCACAATCTTTTTCATTTCCTTTCTATGTTTTTGCTACAAAATAGATGAGGATGTTACATCCCTGAGCGTGAGATCAGTGGACTCGTGGTCTCCTTTAAAAAGCTGCTGAAACCTCATCTATTCAGGCTGGTTTTAGTGTGACCTTCTGCTGATTCTTCATCACTACCTTGTCTTCATTCAGCTCTTTCTACAAATTCTGCCTTTCCTGGGATCCACTAATCACCTTTTTTACTAATTTTATTTTTCTCTTTCCTCACATTTTTTAATCATAACTCTTACTTTTCCCATTCTTAATACATTTTTGTAATTGTTATATCTTCACAACGGAAAGGGGGGGGGGGGGGGGGGGGGGGGTGAGGTTCTAATGTCCCAAAACAAATACAAATGTACCAAAACAGAGTACAGAAGAGCAGCAGCTTCTTTTGACTTTCTTAAGTGCACACACGTCTGTCTGAACGTCTTCTAGGACCAATAGAATGACGTAAACCACAAAATACTTGAGAGTTATAATCTCTTTTTATTACTTATCACACTTAGTGAATGTGCACAATGAAGCAGCTGCCGAGACGAGCTCAAGGTTAAAGAGTCGCTCCTCGTCGGAGCGTCCATGAACTGCTTAAATCCTGTTTGAAGAGGTGAGGCGAGCAATCAGTTCATTTGCTGCAGGTGTGATCCCTGATCCGCGTCCTGGAGATTCCTCCCCTCAATATTTCCGCTGTCTGTCCTTGTTGTGGGGATCCTCCCCCGTTGTCCCGGCAACCCTGCACCTCGTTGCAGCAGGAGCTCACGCCCCCACTCTCCTCTCTGCTCTCCTCTTCTCCTCCAAGGACCCGAAGTTGTGTGAAGTCCCCGGTAACAGAGAAAACAATTACTCAAAGCCCATAACAGTAATTGTTTCTTTTTCTCCTCCTCCTCTTAGTGCTAGTACTACTACTACTACTACTACTATGGTAGCACCTTCTAAAGTCCTAAACCCCCCCCCCCCCCCCCCCCCGAACTTCAAGGCTTTCTGCACCTTTTTTTATGAGCCATATTTTTTATGCATATAAATTAGTCATGTTATGTTCACCATCTAACATCATATACCACTGAAAACATTCACAATTTCCCTCAAATGTTTCTCTTAGAACCTCCGTTAGGATCCTCATGTTAATGTCAAACGTTTGACTAACATATTTCAGAAGCAATAGCTTCTTTGCAGCTATTGGCTGACAGGTCAGAAGTACCGCCCTCTAATATCACATCTGTAGTGCGAACCAACTGTGGTGCCGTTTATTGTTTATTGACCCATCAAATAGCCAATGAAATTCAGAAAAACAATGAAGTCTTTTGTGGAACCCTAGTGGTCTGCTTCTGCCAACTAAACAAGAACAATTGTGATTGGTGGAACGCTCTGTGCGGTGTGTGTGTCAGGTCCATAGAACATCTAAACTTCTGCATGCTCTGTGCGTGGAGCAGCAGCTCCAACAACAACAAAAACTGTTTAAAGTGCACAAAAGTATAAAAATACGCATTGACTGAAGGAGTGATAGACCAAGTTATATGCTTTAGAGCAGGGGTGTCAAACTCATTTTAGCTCAGGGGCCACATTGAGGGAAATCTAGTCCCACGTGGGCCGGACCGGTAATTTACAAACAACTTCAGATTATTTTCTTTGTTTTAATACAATCAATATAAAACAAGGCTGGAGCCTGAGGACAGTGTATCCAAAATAGTACAACACCTGAAGTGTATTTGAAAAATCAATAAATGAAAAAAACATTCCTTATTGATTCAAAGAGCTTACAGATCACATGGCTAGATCACTTTCATGCAGCACTTAAAGTATATTTGACTCATTTTACTTTACATCTTTTAGCTTTCACCAGCACATCACCATCAGAAGTCACATCCTGAGTGGCGGCTAACTTCAGGATGTGATTCAAGTTCTTGTGTGAGCCTTGAGAGCAGCTTTGTTTTATTTATACTCATTACAGAGAAAACTTGCTCACAAAGATAAGTTTATTTTCACTCTACATTGTAAAGTATGAAAATAAAGTTTACACAACCATTTCATGGGCCGGATTTAACCTGCTTGCGGGCCGTATCCGGCCCGCGGGCCGCATATTTGACACCCCTGCTTTAGAGAGAGAAGTATTTATACAACTCCTTTTTGACAAGCACTAAAGTGTTTACTGTCTTCAGCTTTCTCAGATGCTGTGATTGAAACTCGGGAATCTGAAAACATCTGAATTTTCCTTTAATTTTGCCTCGTTTCTGGTGGTGTGTATATCAATGAGCTAATGAGGGCTTGTGCTGAAGACGTTCCAGCTGCTGTAGAGGATTTTCATGTGAGATTCACGTGACTTGTGTCATTTAATTAAATGCTGTTGGAACAGCATGGACTCATATTTTGGACTTATGTGTTTCTTTCCAGACTTCTGTTTGGAGAAGCTTGTGCCTTTTTCAACTGTAAACATATCCCTTAATCATTCCAGTTAGAACCATAATAATACTTTCAGACCCATGAATATTAACAAGTCTATAACTGTGTGTCTCTGTGCAAGTGCAACAGTAATAGGTGTTCAGAGAAGGGGGGGATTTTCATTACTAGTAATAAAAGTGGCTGGAGAAGTACAGTCCTTGGTGCCATTTCAAAATGTTCAAACCCTGAGGAATCTAATTTAATTCAGATGCTTCTCTTTATATCCAAGGCTCATATGGAACTGAGGACACTATGCGCCAGCACACTCCAGACTTTATCCTTATTTATTGTGTGCAGTTTTCTCCCTTGTGCAGCTAAAAATCTGCAATCCATCCCTCCATTTCTTTTATAATGACACAAAAATGCATCATGGCTTTGAACACATGGCGAGAGTAGTAGTAGTAGAATTAGTAGCAGCAGTAGTAATTTATTTTTCAAACAAATTCACTTAGTCACTTTGTACAATTATTTGTTTGATAAAAGGAGTCGGTGGAAGTGTAGACTTATTTAGTTTACTCATAGTTTGAGTTTGTCGCTGACTGATTTAAACAATACAATAATCTAATATAAGGCAATAAAACAATGCAAGCAAATAAAACAATAATAAGAGATAATAATACAATAGCGACATTATCGGTCAGAATCAGAAGGGTTTTATTGCCATATTTGTGAGAAATCACAACATTAGGAAATTGCAGTTGTACTTGGTGCAAAAAGAAAGAAATATAAGAGATAAGCTAATATTGGGAATATGAATATACTCACGATAAAATTATATAAAGTGGTAAAAATTTGAGTAATGGCTACTATATATACTGGAAAGTGTCGGTACTGATCAGAACGAAACAGTTTAGATGCAAACACAACACATGGTCAGGTGACTGGAACAAAGCAACTGGAGTAGGCAGCCCTAGAGTTGTCATTCATGAGTCCAACTGCAAAGGGGTCGAAACTGTTCTTATGGCGAGAGGTTCAGGTCCGAATGGATTGGAACTTCCTGCCCGATGGGAGTGAGTCAAAAAGACAGTGTCCAGGTTAAGACGGGTCAACTGTGATCCAGCCTGCATGCCTCGTGACCTGGAGGTGTACAGGTCCTGTATGGAGGGAAGTTTGCAGCCAATGACCTTCCCAGCAAAGCACATGACATGCTGCAGCCTCTTCTTGTCCCTGGTGGTAGCTCCAGCATACCACACAGTAACTGAAGAGGTGAGGATGGACTCGAGGTTTACGGTGTAGAACTACTTCATCAACTGTACTGGCAGGTGGAATTTCTTCAGCTGCCTCAGGGAAAGACCATCCTCTGCTGGGCCTTTTCTTAGGATGAAGGTGATGGTCGAGGGTGAAGCTCTGCAAAGCTGGTGCCAAATTATGAACGTATGAATGACAGTTTAAAATTTGAGACAATAGTTAAACCTTAGCCAAGCGTCTCAATTGATACATGGAGATGTAGTATCTTCCTTTTATGTGACCATTAAAACAAAAGCCATTCACTCCCAAATTATAGACCTAATCACTCATGTGGGGATTTAACTAAAATCAACCATAGAGGCATCGTTGAAACGATTGGGACCATAGAGGACTGCTTCCGTCTTACGTTTGTTTACACACAGAAAGTTCTCATGCCTTGGTTGGCTTCAACCAAACGATGTAAAAACTTTGAGATTGGTCTCTCGCCTGGCCCATCCAAAGGAAAATACAGCTGGCAGTCATCAGCATATATGTGAAAAGTGATGCCATGCTTCTGTACAATATCACCCAATGGCAGAATGTGTACACAAAACAGCAGAGGTCCCAATATTGAGACGTCTTGATCTTGAAAGGTTTAGACACTGTTGACTCAAAGGTATGTCGAATATGTTGTTAAATTAGTCAGTATTGAAGTAATATGCCTGAAAGAGATGAGCAGAGTTTGCAAACACAACTTGATCGTAGAGCTGAACGATTAATTGCATATGCAATTAAATTGTGATGTGACAAAAGGAGATTTTCTAATTGCAAAGGCTGCAATTTGACTGGCAGCGAGTGGTTAGCACAATGCTAATATAAATGTAAAAACCCATAGGGTTCCTAATGATAATATCACCAATTACATTCTT